AATTATATATAGAGTTAATCATCCATACATTACAACTGTAAAGTTTTTTACACTGACATGACACTATTAAGAAATATGATTGGTTGCCAGTATAAATAAACTTTACACTGAGAATGAATAGGTGATTAACTCTTATATATATAACCTCTACATCAATTGAAGGTGTAAAATAGGGAGTTTTTATTTATAACTTCGAAAAAAAACCACAACATTCAATACCTCGTAAAACCAAATAAAACTTTGTTATTTCTATCTTTTGAATGTGCAATAAATAAACAAACAACAATATTGTTGGATTCTTGGAGTCAACGTGCAAAGATGATAATAGTTTAATAACTAACCGTATTTGATATAAGAAGACCCACTCAAAGAGCCTAATAAATAGAAACTAACTCAATATATTAGAAACCATTGAAACTTAAATAAAAAATATTTATTTTAAAAGTTAAATTATGAATTATCTTTTTTTTTTCAATAAAGAGAATACACAAAAAGAAAACACCTCAAAGAAATAGGAAAAGGTACAAATTTATTTAATGAAGTTGAGTTCCTCATACATAATGTCCACCACAATATCTTAATAAATATTCATTGTCCCAAATTTAGTTAATATAGTTTGATTCCTCATGGAGTTAAGCTTTTGTTTATAACATTGTCTCATATGAATCCTCGTCTTTTATTTAGGGTGTAGACCCTTTTAATTTATAATTTGAGGTTCTTTTTATTTTTAAGAATATTTATTTGTTGACCTTGCATCCTAATATTATAAGAGAAACATTTTTTTTTAAAATAAAGATAATAGTTTTAATTTTAAACATTTTCAAAGAAAAGATAATATCTTTTATATGAACACGTTTTGATATTGATTCCTATCAATTTACAAGTATCAAAATCAATTTACAAGTATTTACGTGAGTGTTACTTCACTCAACGTAGAAAACACTTTCTATGTCAAATGAGTTAACACCCATCATAGAAAGTGTTTTATATGCGGGATGAAATATAACACTCGACATAGAAAAGCTTATTGTTAGGGCCAAAAGCGCAAATTTAGCTTGTGTTCCCATCATTAGTGGAAAAAGGGCCTACTACGTCACGTCATCTACGTCGAAAAGTGACACACCCGACGTTGTAAAAACGCGGTGGCACTTCCGTAAATATGGAGGGCCAAATTTACGTCGCACGTACGTGGGTCCGACGTAAATTAGAGAATTTATGTCGGTCCTCCAAGCAGCCGACGTAGATAATCTAATTTACGTCGGACCCACGTATGTCCGACGTAAATTTTCCCCCAAAACCCCCAACGTTACATTTCGCTTCCCGCGCCTCCCAGTTTACGAAAAGTACTTCTCTTCTATCTTATATTCTCTAAGTTTCCATTGTACGTTTGTACGTCCCTAAGTCTGCATTTGCTTCTCCATTGCACGTTTCCACGTCCCTAAGTCTGCACATTACACGTTTGAGGTAATTTTGTTCTCTACGCAATTTTTTTTTAATTTTTTGTTATTTGTTCATGTGGAACGGGCCGTTCTGCTTGCAGAAAGGGCCGTTCTGCTTAAGTTTTGGTTTTGTAAATTGCTGATCTGGAACGGACCGTTCTGGTTTCAGTACGGGCCGTTCCAGATGCATTAAAGATGGACTTTTTTAGGCATTGTCTTTTAGTTTACCATCGTATTAGTAGAAAAATTTATGGATTTTATCTGAAATTAGTATCAATTTTTTAGGGTTGTAGTTTAGGTTAGAAAAATTATGAATAACTGAGTGAATAGTTAATTTGTGCTAATATATAGATAACGAATCGAAGTTGGATGAATGCAAGTCGCATTAGTCAAGAGTACAGAAATGGAGTTGAAGAGTTCTTGGAATTTGCAAGAGAAAAAGGGAAACCCATCAAAGGGGCATATTATTGTCCATGTGTTCGTTGTTTGAATCAGATACGTCAAGAAGTTGAAGAAATATGTGATCACCTATTTATATATGGTATTGTCAAGAGTTATACAGTATGGACATGGCACGGAGAAATATTAGACATTCCAACGGTGTCAACAACTGAAAATTTTGAAGGGATGGACGATAACTTAGAAGAGATGATACGTGATGTTGGTGAAGAAAATTTTGAAAGAGCACATGTGTATGATACTTTAAAGTCTGATTTTGAGCAACCATTGTACCCAGGATGCAGTATGTTTACAAGATTATCAGCAACTTTAAGATTGTTTAGTTTAAAAGCAAGAAATGGCTGGACTGATAAAAG